ATTGAATTTAACTGTTATAATTTTGAATTTTTTATTTTTTTATATATTGGATTACTTATTTCACATTGTTATTAATATTTCATTATATTCTTATTGGTGTAATTTTAATTTATACTACAGAATCTGGATTTTTATTTGCGAGTTGACCGTGCGACTGCTTGTTTTGTTGGCGTTATTAACCGGACTTTTATATTTTGTCATTCTACATCTTGAGCCATGAAGTACTTTCGGACTCTGATAATTAATAACTACATAAACTTATTTGTTGATACGCAATTTAAAATTTCTGGTATCGATCTAATGTCGGCATTACATTAACTATGTAGGATTTATATTACGACCTAGACGGCGAAGTATTATTTAGAATTATTATTTTTTGATTTTGTACTTATGTGAATTTTATTATCCGCTATTTATATACATTTATCTGGACTTTGAAAATGACCCGATTGCAGTTGAAACGTTAAATGTTTTATATATTTATGTCTATTTAAAAGCCTTTATGTTATATGTTAAGATTTGTTTATTTGGCTCGTAGCTATATTCTTAACTTAATTTTTCTTTTATATATTTATACTGATAAACATTAAACTGGAAACAATCAATACATATTTATTGCTAAAATATTATTGATTAGCTTCACATTTTAAAAATACACATGAGATAAAATAGTAAAAAAATGATATTTGGAGATTCAGAAAACGCACTCCGAAAGAGCTTGGGAATCTTTAGATTTGCCTCCGATTTACATACGTCAATTTTTATAGGACTTCTGGACGTTTTTTTTTACGAAAAGCAAGTCCATCTCGTGTCGATGCCGTATATGAAAATGACTGATCTTGTTCTGTTTTTACTGTCAATTTGCCGTCAGGTTTATATGGGGTGGCACCCAGTTGGACACGGCTCAATTGAACACGAGCCACTCACAGCGCTCGAGACTACAAAGCTCCTAAGCACCGGTTGTGATTGGTGGTGTCCAATCGAGCCGTGATCAATCGGGATCACCCCGTTTATATGTCAGTAGGCTCTGTTCGGTTTCTGCTCGCAATCTGCTGTCAGGTTATGCAGCAGACTCTGTTCGGTTTCTATCACCAATTTGTTGACATAGCATCCCAGCTAACACAAAGTAAAGGCCGCGACACAGACTTTTGCAAAAAGCATAATGCATAGTGCATAAACGAATCAACTAATCACAATCTTTCCTTTCCTCCCATTCCATGGAAAAGAAAAATTTCGATTGGTTGATTCTCTTATGCACTATGCGTTATGCGTTATGCAAAAGCTTATGTCTGAGCTCTTATATGTAACGTACTCGTTAGGGTATATCCACACAAACTTGCATAGCCGCATAAACATATACATAAAGAAAATTATCCAATTGCAGTTCTCTTTTAAAGTCGTACATAAAATGTGATTGGATAATTTTCTTTATGCATACGTTTATGCGGCTATGCAAGTTTGTGTGGATATACCTTTAAGATGTCTGCATAGCATAAAAAGTTCGTCTTTACGAATTTTTCGACGTTTTGTGTCTTATGCTTTATGCGCTATGCAAGATCTACAGAACGAGAAGTGGGGATGGAAATAAGGGACTTTGATTGGTTGATTCGCTTATGCACTATGCCTTATGCATTACGCAAAAGTCTGTGTCGCGGCCTTTACTATATCAAATACTGACAGCAAAACTACAGCAAAACTCGAGCACAGCCTGCCGTCATGACGTGATTGCAAATACGCGACAGATATAAGGTGCGTTCCGTATCGCGCATGATGCGCATGATGCATCCATTGTCGTTGTTTAACATTTGGTGAGCAACAAGGATAAACGACGCATTATGCGCATCATGCGAGATATGGAACGCACCCCTAGAACGCGATTTTCCTTATCAGTTGATGAAAGCAAAAACGTAACAAAAATCGTACACAATCTGTCGTCATATGTACTGCCAGCAAAACAACAAAAACGGAGCACAGCCTGTCGTCACGACGTCACTGCAGAAAACGCGCATAATAAATATAATTTATATCATACATTTAACTTTTATTAACTAAATGTATTTTTATTAAAGAAGTACATTTAATCAGAATAAGATTTTGCTAAATAGAAATTGTATTTTTAATTTTTTTGTATCATAAATAGTGTTAATAAATGAATAATTTTCCGTATTGAGAGAATTGTTGCTGTTTTAAAAAAATCAATTTAATATTCAGAATTCTCTATAGGAATTATGTCAGAAATTAAATCGATAAGAAAATATTACACATTTTTATTTTCACTAGCCGCGTTATGTAGTCTTTATATTTGCCCGTGACAGAAATTTAAATACGAGATAAATACGAGATAAATATAGATACGTCGTCTATCAGTAAACTATGGTACGATATAACATGTGACGATAGATTATGCTTGATTTTTGTTGTGATTTTGCTGTAAATATTTGATATAATAAGTTGTGCGGTATTCCTGTTGCATTACCGTTCTCACAATGTGAGAGCAAATTTGTCAGATTTCTAACTACATTTTGCTAATTTAATATGACATCATATCAAATCTAGCTTTTTGGTTTATTTTTGTTTATATATTGTGCCAACATATAATGTATGAATTTTGTTCTATTTATGCCGAATATATTTTGCTCAATTTTTCTAACATTTTTTAAAGCATGTTATGATGCAGTGTCTTTAGAAATTTTGCTGTATTTTCGTCAACGCTAGTTGAAATGACAGATCGTGCTCAACTGCTGCCCGATTTTTGCCAACATAATATGTAGCATACATTTACCCTAACAACACAGACCTCCAGGAGATGTCCTGAAGACGTCCAAAGGACGTCCGTACGCCCTTCGAACATCCTAAGGACATCCTCAGGATGTATCCCGGATAAAGTGTGTTATTAGGGTACAGTGCGTGCTTCCGACATGTCTGGCTATCTGGGTTGTTGCCTTTCTGCAATCAAAAGTTGGTAGTAGGCTCTGCTCAAAATCTATCTCCGCAGGCTTTGCTATCAGGGTGTATATTGAGCAAACTGATGCACTGTATGAATTGTCTTATATTTGGCATACATTTACTGGCATCAAAATAGGATACGTTACAAATGCAGCAATATAAATGGTTATATATGTAATCAGTTGACAAAATTTCAAAAACAAATGGTCAGCAATAGCGGTACCCAGACAGCACAGAATATTTACGATAAATATTTATTAATATTCATTTTTTTAAATGTTATATAAATATTTTGTACATGTGTTATATGTATGCTGGAAAACTTAAATTTAAATAATATAATTTAAAAAATGCTTGGTAAATATATCCTAGTAAACACCAATTAATTAGTAATACAATATAAATGCAATATAATGTGTTACATTGCATTTATTGTGCTATATATATATTTATATATTTATTGTGCTATATACAGGGTGTCTCGAACTTTTTTGCCAATCACTTTTGTGTAGATAGAGCGGACTAAACTGAGTCGAGAAGTCCTCTACTATTTTGCAATTTTCTCAGTAGTTAACAAGATATTAATTACTAAAAATTGCCAAATATTGGTCTTGCATAATTTTTTACTCAAATACTATGAATTTTATAGAAAAGCTGCAAGAGACAAAAATAATTTATTTTCTTCTCATAAAGTTCTGAGAATTTTTTCAGAATTTTTTCAGAATTTTTTAATACCGTATTTTCTCGTGTTGATAAAAATAAGAAAATGCAATACTAAAAAGTTGATAAAAAATTCTGAAAAAATTCTCAGAACTTTATAAGAAGAAAATAAATGATTTTTGTCTCTTGCAGTTTTTCTGTAAAGTTGATATTATTTGAGTAAAAAATTATTCAAGCCCAATATTTCGCAATTTGTAGTAATTAATATCTTGTTAACTATTGCGAAAATTGCAAATTGGTAGAGGACTTTTCGACTCAGTATAGTCCGCTCTATCTACACAAAAGCGATTGGCAAAAAAGTTCGGGACACCCTGTATATATGTATATTTATTGTGCTATATATATTTATTACGTTATATATATGACACATGTGTTATATTGCATTTATATCGTATCACTAATTAACTGGTGTTTACTGGGATATATTTACCAAACATTTTTTTAATTATATTATTTAAATTTAAGTTTTCCAGCATACAAAGTTTTTTTAATTTTTTTAAATACAAATATGATGTTAGATTGATAAATTTAATTTAAATTACATAAAAAAACTTCTATACATAAAATATTCCAACAATATTTATTCCAACATTTTGAATTTATCAATTTTGATATTAATATTTTGATATTAATTTTGATAAGTTAATATTCAGCGATTTCAAAAAATCCTTAAATTTAAACAATGTAATTAAAAAATATTTTTTAAATACATTTTTAATGGCATATGTAAATTATAATAAGAATCTTTTTCTTAACCATATAATTGATATAACAAATACCTTTCAAGAATTAAAAATTCTTTATAAAAATTCTAACATATTTAATTTTTATTTCAATAAAATTTCTCCAACTTTTCACATATCGAAAATATAATATACCAAAATACATTTATAAAAGCCTTTTTTGCAATTTTAACTGTAAAATATATATTTCAAAATTGTGACGAAATAGAACAATTTGGTAAACAAGATCATATTCATTGCCCAAAGAATTACGGGAATTAATTACCTTCGATTTTATGCATTTTTTTGTTGACTAGTATAATAAATTTACAAAAGCTGACATATTTATTGGAATAAAACACATCCACACGTTTATGCGTAATATATAAGCATGCATATGTTTTTTTATTATCATAGCTTTCATATCAGCTTTGGAAAGTTTATTAAATATTAAAAGGAAGAGCTCATCAGCATACGTACATGCGAATATGTACCGATTCTCTGATGCATCAGCTTAATTAGAAAAATAAACTTTTCATCTAGCGAGAAAAGAACAGCAACGCAAATATAAGAAATTAAATCCTAATAGCATAATCAATAACTTTTGCTCACGTATTAAATTAATTATGCCTTGGTTTCTTTGTTCTGTATATGATGTGTGAAACCATTTGCACTGCTTGCCGCGACCGAAACTTTCTAGAACTGAACGCAGAACTGTAACAAGTCACGATATGACTCTCAAAAATAACTCCTTCTATATAGGACCGCATCTCCGTGCAGACGAACGGTTCTATTTATACGATCGACATCTACGTTTTTGTTTTATATGGAAAGATTATGCGGCCCTGTGTACGGATACTCCGCATTAATCATAACGTCGAATGAGAAGCATGCTTTCAATTAAACTTTATATCTTATTTATTTATAAACATTTTAAATATAATGTCTAATTTAATATGATTTCTATATCAGGTTATATATTCAAGAATGTCTCTCTCTCCTTTTTCCTTCCTTTCTCACCCTCTCTTTCTATTTTTATTTTATTCTGTTCTTTCTCTTTCCTTCTATATTTTTTTATGTTTTTTGGATTTATAGAAGAATGAATCACGAATAAATTAAACTATGATTTTAAATAATAATATAAACTAAGCAGGGTTTGGTAAAATAACTGATACGACCTATTTAAAATATAAAACTTAAAATAAGTTCCAGAAACTTATTTTAAATATAAAATCGTAGGAGTCGATAAAAGAGTGATACGACTTATTCGAAATAATAAATATAAAAGGTAATATTTTTCGCAATAAATTTATTAATAGTTTTTATAGATTAACATCTTTATAATATATGATGCTTGATGGTAGCATCAAATTATTAAAATTGCTTGTCAATTTAATTCGCAATTACTAGAGTAGTTTTAATTGCGTTTATTTAGTCCGGAAAAACAATTCGGCGCGCAGTTTGAAAAAGACTACAATATGGTATATATGCAAGTACATATATAGGATATATTAGTAATTCAAGATTGAATTATTTAAAAGCAACAAAGATCCAGCTCGGACCGTAATAGGCAGTTACATTATAGTATTAAT